ATTAGTCCAGTACATCATTAGTCCAGTACATCATTAGTTCAGTACATAGTTAGTCGAGTATATCATTAGTCCAGTATATCATTAGTCCAGTACATCATTAGTCCAGTACATCATTAGTCCAGTACATCATTAGTCCAGTACATCATTAGTCCATTACATCATTAGTCCATTACATCATTAGTCCAGTACATCATTAGTCTAGTATATCATTAGTCCAGTAAATCATTAGTCCAATACATCATTGGTCCAGTACATCATTAGTTCAGTACATCATTGGTCCAGTACATCATTAGTCCAGGACATTATTAGTCGGCCCAGCGAGGCATATCCTGAAAACTACGTTTACCCTCCAAAGAACTTAAAGCTACGGCACCTGTAATGCCTACACCAGCCTGGTGTTACCTACAGTCCTATATCGGAGACTGTTATCTCGAGGCATGGTGTCCGCCTCTAGTGCTAGAGGTTCAGGGTTCAATCCCCGGTACATGCTGGGATTTTTTCACGTGGACTTAACTTCTAGTATTTTCCCTGGTCTCTAGGTAGTGAGATCGGACGCCCGTGTACATTGTTGCGCACGTAAAAAAATCGTAATGGCAGTTGGAATTCGAAAAGATTAGCCTAACAGTGCTGCCGACCAAAATGTGGAGAGACAATTCTACCCACAGTTTTTCAGGATCCTCGCCGGTGGTACTGAGCCTGTGCACTGTGCTGAGCTTGTTTAGACTCAGCCTTGAGTTTGAAGACAAAACCGAAGCACTAGTGCCGTAATGTTGATCTGTTGTTCAAACACTTACAACCTCTATGGATAAGATCAGGTCGTTAATCTCAGCCACCTAGTTATTTATTCATGGCTTTGCCTTGCTCTAGCTCTCCCCCTCCCCCCCCCCCCCATAATATTGCCAGTGTTACCTTCAGGAAAACTTGATCACAAGTAAGATATCCTGCGTCTGAAACACCCATCTGATGATCATCCGCCACATCCTGCACCCATCTTCTCTTTACCAGATTCTCAAATCGATCTCTTTTTATTCAGAAGCTCCATGAACCCTGTTCAGTCGTAAGACTAAATTCTCACTCTCTCAGTTCTCGTTATGCCTAGTGGCACATGAGGATTTAGAGAGGACTTTCCATGCTTTCCTGTCCTGTGCAATCTTCAGTGCAGTTTTCCATGTCAAAGATGCCGCAATCAGGTCACTTTCCATCGTCTCCATGTTGTTTTTGGGCGCCCTTGTTTTCTCTTTCCCTCTGGTGTCCATGTGAAAGCTGTTTCGGCAGGTATATCAGGATTCATTCTCATAACGTGGCCAAGCCATTTCCATCTTCTCTTGGTAATCATACTGTCTAAAGTTTCTTGGTTTGTGACTTGAAGTAGTTTAGTATTTGAGATTGTATCTGCCCAGAAAATTTTGATAATTCTACGTAGACATGTGTGGTGGAAGGTGGACAGCTTGTGTGCATCCTTTTTGGTAATTTTCCAGCATTCCGCTCCATAAAGAAGAAGACTAAATTACTTAAATGCATTTGTGTGTAAGGAAGTCGCCGTGGCAGAGCGAATCGAAAGGTCGTGGGTTCGCTCCTTCGCGGAGCCAGACTTTTTTTTTTCTTCAAAAATGACATTGGCTCCCAGGTCGACCCAGCCTTGAGTGGGTACCGGTTGCAGCCCCGGGAAGTGAAGGCGACCGGTGTGATGCTGACCACATCACCCAACTTGGGCCGATTGGTCTAAAAAATACAGGTCTCGCCCTATATGTCCTATACGCCTAAAGGCGTGGAAAAGGGTACTTTAATTTATTTACTTTTACATACTTTTACATATGTGTGTTAACATCATGTCTCGCAGGAATATATACAGGAGTATGGGGTAATGTGCAAGCTGATAGGTTAGCTGCTGCTGCTGCTCTGAGCACTGATCTTTTTTTTTTTTATAATCTTCTTTTTGGGGGTAGCTTATCAGCTGTAAATTCCGGCGGAAAATTGTAGT